AGAAATGAAAAATTGACAATAAAAGCAATATATAATGCAAGGAAGAAACCTGCAGTTGGTAGAGTATTTTGGGGAGGGGGGGTAGTGGGTGGGAGGGGGATGCCATCAAATAGCAGATGCTGTTGCACAAGAGTAGCCTAGTAGGATTAATTACTAGTAGCTTCATGGTAAATGCATCAGAATAAGCCATACTGGATTGCAGTGTTTTGTTTCTGTGGGGTGTTTTAACGACAGGGGTTTTTTCCACGTTTCTTTTTGGGACTGCACAGCAGCAACTCTCAGTCACATGCATGCAGCCTTACCTGTGTAGGCTTGGTTCTTCCACCGCCACCACCTTTTGTTCCGCTCATCCTCTCACTGAATACAAACAAGGACGACAGGCTTAAGGCAGTTACACACGTGCAAAAGAACCTTTTTAAACCTCGAGCAGGGAGTTCTTAGATATTATCCAAATGCCTTTTTGTGACCGTGCCCAGCAGGCTGGGCCTCCAAAGCCCAAGTATTTTGAGGAGACACTGACAAATTTGGCAGGTGTAACCAGCTCTGAGCTAACGAACTGCGAATGTTCCTTTCCAATACAGGGGCTTGTTTTTCTTAACTTCTTTTAAATGGCAGTTGGCAATTGGCTTTTCTTAACTACCTAAAAGTAAAGGGGAGAGGGGTGGGGGGTGGGCAGAGAGACTCTTCTTTTGATAACACCGGGAGCCTGACCACTATATCCTCTTTTTTTGTACTTTAAGTCGTGTTTTTTGGAACGCTGTTGATTGATAGAACTATTAAGAGTTGGCTTTTTTCCTTCAAGTAAAAGTAAGTTATTGCTGCAATACCCATCTCCTACAGCTGATAGAAATGTGCAGACCCCGGGGCACGAGCCGTGTTCGGATCAGACCCACGCGAGGGTGGACACGGGGCCGGTGCCTTCGGGGTGGTTTAAAACTGCACCAAACAACAGGCACCAGGGGCTGGTGTCCACCAGGCACTCTGCAAATTTCTGTTGGCTCTAGACTTGCCTACATACCCTCTTATGCTTTAATACATACCTGCATTGGATGTGAGACTTGTAGTAACTGTGTAGTCACTGTGTTCTATATAACATTTTACACTGCTGTGGTTGCTAACCTTTTATTTTTTGTTATGGCTTAAAAGCAAAAAGCAAAAAAAAAAGGCATGATTCTTAGAAACTATGAACTAAACCTTCCTTCCTTTGGAAAACAAGCTCCTTCTTACAGAATATAATGAACAGTAGTGCCTGTGGTGTAGCCCACCAACCTGGAGACGGTAGCTGATGCATTGTGCAAATGAGGCTTCGAGATGGTTTTTGCATAAACAAAAACTGCTAGGAGATAATCTCGATAGTTTAAAAGTGTTATTTAAACCTTTGAAATAAATGGATGTAACTGTACCCGAGTACAGCTTTTCACTTGTTTAGTTCTTAAACGTTAGTATAATCGGTAAAAATTTAATATAAAATGTTGCCAAATTCCATGTAGAAAGAATGTGACAAAACACTTTGGATAGTTCTATTGTTTGTGTTTTTGCATATTGTAAAAGCAGTGTCACAGCTAAAAAAAGAAAATGTTTCTAATGGTAAATTATTGTGGTTTAGTTGCTAGTTTGTACTGAGAGTTGAGCTCTCCCTGTGCAGGTTTTTGTTCTAAACTGGTATAAATAATTGCTGTAAGTGTGTCTCCCTTCTACATTGTAATGATTGCTTAAGCCTACATTATAAATAAAGAACTGCTGGAAAACTTCTGTATTTTGGTTCTTAAAAGACTTTCTGCTTCTGGAGCTTTGGGGATCAGTGAGGTCCTTCCTCAGGCTTCTGAAGGTCACGCAGGTTCCATCCGAGTCTAGCAGAGAATTGGTAGATAAAGGTGCATGAGGCTGTTTCACTGCTGTGCACTGAAGGGTGGCAGCAGAACAAAGGTGCAGTGCCAACAACGGAAATTCCCATTAAATAATAACTGGTGACATTTCTCTACCCCTCCCTGTTATTCCCTGGCCGGGAAGCACAGGTAGCTCCACACGTTTGTGCATCTGCAGCAGTGCTGGACCCAGTTCTTTTGCCAGGGGAGGAAAATCACTGCTTCCAGCCAGCCCGTCAGGCACACCACCAGCGCCATCTCCCACAGGCCCAAGTGACTGAGGACTTCCTTCTGTTCAGCTTTCTCAGGAGCAAAGGTAGAGAGGGAGGATGTTGCTCCCGCTTCCAGTTCCCACACAGTGGCCTCATTTATTTCCTTGCCACTGCAATAGATGCATTTTTGTCCAGGGGGCTCTGTTTGTGGGTGTGTTGGGTTTGCATGGCAAGGTTTTGGTAGGGGGGCTGCAGGGGTGGCTTTGATGAGCTCCCAGGAGCTTCCCCCATATCTCATTGGGCCAGCTCCAAGACGGACCTGCTGCTGACGGAGCGGATGGTGGAAGCGCCTCTGGGATAACAGATGGAAGGGGAAAAAGCCACTGTGCAGAAGCAACAGCAGCCAGAGTGGAGTGAGAATAGGTGGGAGAAACAGCCCTGCAGACACCAAGGGCAGCGCATAAGGAGGCAGGAGGTGCTCCAGGTGGTGCTGGAGCAGAGATTCCCCTGCAGCCCGTGGTGCAGCTCATGGAGGTCCATGGTGCAGCAGATCTCCATGTGCAGCCCATGGAGGAGCCCACGCTGGAGCAGGGGAATGCCCAAAGGAGGCTGTGGCCCCGCAGGAAGCCCGCACTGGAGCAGGCTCCAGGCAGGACCTGTGGCCCCGGGGAGAAAGGAGCCCACAGCCTCTGTCAGTTGGGGTCAGCTGTCTTGGCTGTGTCCCCTCCCAAGACCTTGCCCACCCCCAGCCTGCTGGTGAGGGAGGATGTTGGAGAAGCAGCCTTGATGCCGTGGAGCCCTGCTCAGCAGTAGCCAAAGCCTGGTGTGCTATCAACACCTTCCTAGCTACTGACACCCAGCACAGTGAGGGCTGCTGTGGGGAAGGTTAACTCCATCCCAGCCAGAGCCAGTGCAGTCATGAAGACTTCAAAGGAACAATCAAGGGGGTCTGGCTGGATTAGAGTGTCAATTCCCATTTCTCTCTGACTTCTTCACAGACTGGTGTGCATTCTCCAACATTTTAGGTATACAGATGATATGAACAGACATCTCTTTGCACAACTGCAAGTGAAGTACGTGCGTGCCAGAGAACAACAGTATGTCAGCAAAATGCCTTCTCTTGTTACTTTATTCAGGTTTATTTTGTATTAATTTCAGTAGCATGCATGTCAACTGCCTCCAGAAGATACACTGCTTCAATGCTCACGTGAGACCATGCTTTTACATGGGCATCTCACGGGGTCTCGTAACATAGTGCCACCACAGCGGGGGCAGATGCCCTTCCTTACGAGCTGGAGGCAGAGCTTCAGTTTTTGGACCATCAGGTGGAGTTTCTTCTTCTAACTGCTTAAGCTAAGAGAGAAGACAGAAAAGGGCTTTAGTGTACAAATGTACATTTCCATGATGTGGGCTCAGTGCCCAGGCAGCAAGAACTGGCCCCCATTTCAGAAGGGAAGGACCAGCAGTAACACCTGCAGGTGTCATGTTTCCCAGTATTCCCTTAATCATCAATCACTGCAGGCTCATATTAAGTAATCAGGAAGGATTTTTTTAAGAGTAAAAAGTGGTTTACTAGAGAAATTTTACTTGAAAGGTCATTACTTCCATCTAATTCCTGCCTACTATTGCTATGCTACATTAAATAGACTCAATTCTCTTGCTGCTTTGAAAGCTGCCAGGTCCCGAATAACTTCCACCGCAGTCCACAGGAGACCTCCACTCCTGTAGGCCACCAACAGCCCTTCACATGTTTTCAACAGATGTTCCTTGAAGCAGTGCAAGTGCTGGCTGCCACTACGTTAATTCTGTCACACTACACACACTCCCACTATTTCTCTACAACTGACTTCAAGAACTAGTCCAAGAACACAATTTTTCTTCAACTGAATCTCAGTTGAGCGTGGCCAGAAATCAGTCTCCATTCCCAGCCGATGACCACCACGGTAAGTCACTTTCAAAGTGCAACCTGGAAGTTTTACAGCAGTAGAAGAGGAATTCTCTGGTCATTAATCTCCTCTCATCCCAGTTTGGAATTTCTTTTAGCAAAACTGCTGCGACAGCTCTGCACTAACGTAACCCCAGTGGCAGCTTCAGCTTTTAACTTCAAGTCCCCTTCACAGCCTTTAAGAAGCTGAGATGTCTGTGTAGGCGTTTTGGGTTGAGTCTGTGTTTCCCACTGACGGGGGTTCTAATGAAGCAGAGTCTAAGTGAGACCCCAGTAGGCACTGGGTAACTTTCCCAAGAAGACCTCTGCAATGTCCCACAAAATACTTGTGTGCTGAAGAGGTTTTCCTCTGCACTGAGCGAGCACTGACCTCTTTATCCCAGCTCTCCCGCTGCAGTTTCTTCCATTGCTCTCGTTTGGCAAAGTAGTCAGGATACATTGCCTTCTCAGATGGATGCCAGTAATCCAAGACCCATTCAGGAAGCTGTTAAAGAACAACATGATTTATAGGTATTATTTTTATGTATGAAATCATATACAGCACACACATACAGAACTAAATGCCACCACTGAAACCAGTATTGTAACAGATAAATAACCCAGGAAATAAAGCACTACGTAAAAACACCATTTAAAGCCTCCTGACCATTGTCAGTCTCAAAGCAAGACATGACAGAGGTCAGTACTTACCATTTTTGTTTCACACGTTGTCCTAAGTAGCAGGACGACATGAGAGTGACTTGCTTAAATCCTTAAGA